ATATATATATATATATATATATATATATATATATATATATATATATATATTATATATATATATATATATATATATATATATATATATATATATATATATATATATATATATATATATATATATATATATATATATATATATATATATATATATATATATATATATATATATATATATATATATATATATATATATATATATATATATATATATATATATATATATATATATATATATATATATATATATATATATATATATATATATATATATATATATATATATATATATATATATATATATATATATATATATATATATATATATATATATATATATATATATATATATATATATATATATATATATATATATATATATATATATATATATATATAATTATAAATAGCAGTACTATTGTTATACAATTATTATTCTAAATAAATGACAACAACTAATCCTATGTGTAACTGGAACACAATCTAAAGACACAACTGGTGTGATGCTAAGATAATTTTAGAAATCTTTTGCATAATCATTAATTTTACAAGAATGAAATTCTATAGACAATTCAATAGAGGACAAAAAAATCAGTTGTGTATTGTAGACCCGACTCAAGGCCGAGAATTAGGTTTATTAAGTCTAACCTCCCTGACTTCATCCCTTCTTTCTGCTTCATACTAAAAAATTAGTAGTCATGCAGTATAAATAAGATCACCTTCAAATTATTTCAACTTTGATTTGTTGATATGCAAAACTCACTGCTTGCCGGTTTCACAGTGCATGAACGGCGAGGCTATTTTTTCGGCGTGCATGTTCACAACCGGAACACGAGCAGAGCAGCGCATTAGTGTCAAGCAGGAGCATTGTGCATGAGTTGTATGTTTTTTTTTTTTTTGAGTTTTTCTGAGTACATGCTCAGTTTGCGTCTTTATTCTGGGATTACCACTCTTAATAAATACAATTGCATGTAAAGTAAATCGTATCTCAAGGCATTTAGTGGGGCACTGGCAATGTGGCACGAGCCCCAGTAAATGGGGTCTAGTGATGCCCCTGCCCCTAACATTTATTTTACCTAGAAACTGCGATCATACTTATGTGCATTTTTGTGGTTTCACAAAAATGTAGGCTGAAGCATGTTTTTCCAATGAGCCTGTGTTAGAAGCAAGATCTTTAGTTATTTCAAAAGCAAATATTTAGATGATTTGCACTGTCCTTACCAGGCATGCCACAACACTTTATCATTAAATTGAACACATTATTATTATTTTTAACTTTTTGTTTAGTAAAAACATTTAATATTCATAAAATGCATTTAATTGAGAAGCAACGTTCAATTGTACTATATTTAGTCTTGTCACTTACAGATATTCACCTGTTATAAATATAAAAATGTAAAAAATAATAAAATTTTTATTTAAAAAATTATAAATATTTTTTTCGTATAAAAATTTAATTTATAAAAAAAAAGTGAGGTCATTTTTTTTTCCAAATTTAACCTTTTGTCACTTGCATATCTTTACCTGATTTCAAATATTATGACATGTTGCTTCTAAAGTGAACTGCTCTTATTCACAGAGCATTTAATATTGGTGTATTTTATCTCATCACTTGCACATTTACCCCTCTATTAAGCATAAAACTATGAATCTAGCATAAAACAGGCGGAAATAATCTACACTACTGCTCAAGTAAAATCCAATCCTATTTTAAGGATTTTAAAATATTTTAATGGGTAAATTGAGCAAAATATATCTTATTATTCTCTCAGCATTACTGGTTAGGTCATGTGTAAACTGTTAAGAGATTCAGGACTTGCTCCTCTTCAATACAAATAAATGTTCATGTCAATCTTACTGACATCATAACACAACCTCAGATTTTTCCATGTACCTATAATATTTCATAAACAAGCTTTCAAGATGCACCTGCAAAAGCTGCGGTCTGTTTTCATAGAAAGAAATGTGCCAGAAAATTGTCTTCCAGCGTTTCGGCTCATATAGCCTCAGCAGACTGGTAAAGCATGGCATTATAATGAAGAAGGAATGCTTTGTGTGCTAATGAGAGCGTCTGATTATGTTTGGGAGTCTGTCTAATGACTGGACAGGCTGACGTATAGAGTTTATAGGAAGCGGGCTGGTCGTGCGAGGAAACGTATGTAATGTATAAACAGTTTAACGTGTTTGTGTTGTTTGTCTTTCAAAGCATTTTGTTCCATGTAACTGTAAATATCAGATTGTTTTTTGGTTCTGTTAGAGTTTTAGAAACACAATCTTCCCACGAGGAAGAGATTTCTTTAACTCTGTCAATGCAGCATGTCTGATTTTAATCAACTCTAAGTGGATTTTGTTAAACGTGCATTTGGTTTTGTGACATATATTTGTAAACTGATTAAAAAGGCTGTTGGGATGGATGGAGATGGAGTAGTTTCTGGTTTGTGGGAGATTGTGGATCATTCAGAAAATGAGCTGGTTTATTTTCTTAACGCATGTTAGTGATTTTAATATAAATAATTCATCCATAGCTTTTTTATAATTGCTGTGTGATTTGAAACACATGATATTCACTGCAATGCTCACTTTACACAATCCAGTTAGCACTTGAAGGATAAAATCAAGTGTTTTTTTTACTTCTGTTTTTTGAAACAAAGTTTAAGAAATATAGGAACTTTAAATAAGAATATCATGGCAACTAACCGAAATATAATTACATATTAATAAAAAAAATAAATATATACATTACAACGACAATACTACAAATCACTGAATGCAAGACTAGAAAAGTTAAGAGCTTTATAAACATGTGTAAATACAATATTAGACTGTATACAGTATACTGTAGTGAACTGAAAGAGCCAAGAGCATATAAACACAATCTGATTAATAACTAAACCAGACACAGGTGAACACAATCAAAAACAAATGAAACATGAACAATGGTAAAATAAGGAAGCTGAGCCTAAAAGTCCAAGTGCAGTCAGAATCTTCATTAAAGAGTGTGCTTTGTTTCTGGTTAGTGTTCTTGTAAGTTTGTAATTGGTCAGATCAGTGGGTCTCTTTACTAAACATGCTTGTTTAAAATGAGCTGAAACAGTACAATCCTTGAGATTTTTTTAGGTTCGTTCAATCCACTTAAATTTTTAGATTTAAGTGAAATTTCACAAACTAATTTCGAGAGGAGCATGTGATAGGTTTGACTACAGCTGATCCCTATCACTAAT